CAGGCGGTCTAGATACACGTGTAGTTCTTCTGGGAATTACAGGGCTTACAGGAGGACTTTCTTGAACTACTACCTGTTCATCTTCCTCATCCTGTTCAGCTATTGAATCTGTTTCTTCCTTTATGGGCACTATTTCATCCTGTATTTGTCTCTTTACTTTATTTTTAAAGTTACAGGGATAACTAATGGGATTTCTATAGGATTCAATAATTACATCTTTATTGGCATCCTGTTCTAATTTCTCCCATCATTCATGTTCTAGAAATTGGGCACTAGCACTACATAACACTTTAGATGTGCCTTTCTCCCAAAATCTATATCTCCTTTGGTTGCCTGGCTTGACTACTGCTGCAATACTCTTCTAGGGGTTAATCCTCAAACCCTAACACTATCATTTATTAGGAAGCTAGGTTTCATCTGGGTGCCTGAAAGACCTGAAAGCATGAATAGAAGAGGTGACTCCACCAGACTGTCAATTATCTGGAAGCCTGCACTCTCAAACAAAAAAATCTCCACACCACAAGCCAAGCAAACATCTGGGCACAAACAGACTCCCCCTGATACCTCCAGCTCAAACACACCCCAACCAGGCACTCAGATGAAACCTAGCTACCTAATAAATGATAGCCGTCCATTTACTCGGAGCCAAGCTGCACTAAAGCCTCCAATACAGGAAACACAATGTTGCCAGCCAATCAAGACAAAAAATGCTACAAAACAGACAGAAGATATTAGAAACACCAATCAAGCAGAACACAGAAAACTCCAAGACCAATAAACACAGACCAAGACTCCCAACCAATCTGCATGAAGAAAAAACCATTCTGGCATAGCGTAGGCTAGCACCAAATTTAAAACAGAAACAGCTGTGAAAGTCTGACTCATAGACGAACACAATACAGAAGCCTGATGATGGCAGATGAGATTCTGCTGAAACGTTGCTACAACTTTAAAAGCACAACTATAATGACGTGGGAAAATACCCTAACAAAGCTGAATACCATACATGTAAGTACCCGTGAAAACTTAAGAAAACAAATTTATATATATATATATACATGCATTCATACACACACACATGCACACACATACACATATACATATGCATACACACAATATTTGTACTATCGGTTTGCATTTTTTGGGTATTTGGAGATAAAATGGGAGCTGTAAGCCTTTTAAGGGCTTATAGTGTCCATTTGATCCCTGAAACCTCTTTTCAAAAAAGGCCCTCTCACTTGTGCACTTGACATGGTGTACAAAGTCTGATGTGACTCCTGAATTAATGATTGGCAAACACATCTATGGTCTAGAGCAGGGGTAGTCAACCTTTTTATATCTACTGCCCACTTTTGTATCTCTGTTACTAGTAAAAATTTCTCTAACCGCCCACCGGTCCCACAATAATGGTGATTTATAAAGTAGGGGACAAAACCACTAACGCCCGCCATGAAAGCTGGAACGCCCAATAGTGGGCGGTAGGGACCAGGTTGACTACCACCGGTCTAGAGCAATGATGACTAACCTTTCCGTCCTCGCGTGCCAAAAGTGCGCATGCACACATGCACGTGCATGCACGCATGTCAGCACCCAGAAGACAATGCACGCAGGGGGGCCACACTCCCTGTGCATGTACGCATAACCCCCCACATGCATTGCACATTTATGCGCATGCACACACATCTGCGCATGTCACACACCCCGCACATATGCGGCAGCTACCCGACAATCAGCTGGCGGGTGGGCAGGTGTCAGGCGTGCCCGCGTAGTGGACCTGCTCTGGGGTGACGGCTCACGTGCCAGCAGAGATGGCTCTGTGTGCCACTTCTGGCATGCGTGCCATAGGTTTGCCATCACGTGTCTAGAGTTATGGTAAAGGATTCCTTCCAGGAATGAAAGACTTTGCATAGACAATTGGTGAAAGATTTAGTCATACAAATTTCTATTCTCTTGCAATCTTCTCTATTTCTCCCCGCCTCCCCCTGTTAATTACTTGGCAGCAACATTGGGGAACTTGTTAACTCAAATAAAATAAGTCCCCCCACCCTTTTTTTCTATCTCTTTAGAGATTTGTCTCTGCTCTGGCTCTAAATCACAACTCTATAATTATCTTGTTGATTTAATATTTTAATGCATTTATTCATCACTGTAGTTATCAAAGTCAGAAAAGCTTATAAAGAAAAACTAGGAATCTCATATGAGTAGAAATCCAATCTTGTTCATCTTGGTATACTGTATTTTCAGGTATCCAGGGCTACAATTTTTCTAGCATTATAGAGCTGTGATGGCAAACCTATGGCGCACATGCCCAAAGTGGCACACAGAACCATGTCGCCTGGCACGCAAGGCTTTGTCCTTTCCTCTTTTGGGTTTCTGGCATGCATGACAATCAGCTGGCCTCTGTGCATGCGGCAGTGCCGGAAACCGAAGAGCTGGTCTTCCATTTTCTGGCATGCACATGTGCTCTGGCCAGCTAATTGTCGTGTGCGCATGCGCCCTGGAAATCGGAAGTGTGTGCTGGAAACTGGAAGTTCATTTCCTGGCATGCACATGCCCTCTGGGAAGCTCCTCTTCTGGGTTTCATCCCCAGTGAGTTCACACATGCATGCACTCTCTTTAGAGCACTCGGTGCCAAAAAGGTTCACCATCACTGGACTAGGCCATACCACAGTTGGTGTGAAATTGGAGAATATTGTGTGAGGAGTGATGTATACAGTTGTGTAGAAATGCTCTATAACAGTGATGGTGAACTTTTTTGTTGTGGTGTGCCGAAAGCGTGCGTGTGCCGGCACCCACAGTGCAATGCGCCTTGCCCCCCTGCACACGCATGCCCAACATCCCCCGTCACCCCCTTACCTGCACTGTGCATGCATGTACCTCCCAGCTGATTTTTTGCCCTTTTGAGGCCTTTTTCGGCCTTCCAGAGGCTCAAGGGAAGCCTCTGCAGCCTTTGGAGTCCGAAAAATGGGCCCGTTTTTCAAATATCGGAAGTGACAAAATGGGAAGTACCAGTAGTGATGAAACAGGCCTGTTTTTCAGCCTCCAAAGGCTGCAGAGGCTTCCCTCGACTCTCTGGGAAGCCGTAAAAGGCCTCAAATGGGCCAAAAACCAGCTGGGAGGTATGCACATGTGCAGCGCAGGTAAGTTTGGCTGGGGCTCACGTGCCCACACAAAGGACTCTGCGTGCCACCTGTGTCATGCGTGCCATAGGGTCACCATCACGGATATATATTATAAACTTGTCTCAAAAAAGGAGGCATCTTCACCTCCTTAAAGGAACTGATGGCATACCCACTCCTTAAGAGGCCTCTCTAAACTCCACAACGGCTAATGGTAATCTTGGACAGAAGTCCTGGAAAGTTGTTGCCAGCCTAGGGACTATTGGCTAACATGAGGAGTATGGCTCTTGACCTAAAAAAGACAACTGTGGACCCTGCCTTAGATACACCGATGGTCTCACCACATAAAATATAGCTTTCTACGCTCATGTCAACATCTCAATCAGTTCTTTGAAGTGAAGGTCTGGCTACATTGAATTTAGTTTTCTATATACAATAATGAAGTATTCTGCAATAGCATTAATGACTGATACTAAAAATTATGCCCTCTACATATTTACGGATTTGTATTTTGGCTACTATTTGAAAATGAAATGTATAGGCAGTCTAGTAAGGACCTGTATGTGTGTGTGTCTCCTCTGTATGCCCTGATGTTCCCTAGCTACTCATTAGATAATTCCTGGTGTCTCTTAGAAACCCCATTCCCTGATCAGGATCATAGGGAGGCTTTGCAGCAATCATATATTTTTGTCTTTATTGCTTAAACTTACACACACGAATACACACAAGTTCTGTGTCTCCTCTTGGTCCACAACCACCAGTTAGTTGTATTCAAAGGCAAAGATGTGGCTGAAGGAGGATGGATTGTGCCAAGCTGCATCCCTGAAACCCCCTCTCAGAGAATAGCAGCAGAAGCAGACCTCAGGAGCCATCTCTTGGAAATGTGAGTAGTGAATATGGCTATACTAGAATACATTTTTCCAACCAATAATGGGGACTTTTGGAGCCCGCCGAGCTAGAGAAGACTGGTACAGAAGGATGACTAAGTAAGGAATTATATAGTAGGTTGGATAAAGCTAGTGCCTGTTTTGTTTTAGTTTTCTTGTTTCTAGGTCCCGGTGCCAGTTTTATGGCTACCAGGAAAGAACTAATAAGTAATGGTTCACCTGGAAGTTTTGCAATATATTTATTATTTATTTATTAAACCAATTTATATAACCATTCATCTCACAAACAAGTGACTCTGGGTGGCATTCAACAGAGCTAAAAACAGTGAACGAATACATTCAAAAGTATAAAACCAAAATAGTTTTCAACCAAAATTAAAGCGATAGAGATATAAATTTTGTGATAAGCTGCTGCATACAGGTTAGTTATAATACAATGATACTTGTTCTATGGAAACTCTTAAAGTCTTCTCTGGCCATGTGTAAAGATTACAGAAAGAATGCTTACATAGGGATATCATATATGCACAGTAATTTATTCAAGTCATATATTTATAATGACTGAAAATGCAATATGGAAAATGACCCTTCCCCCTTGCATATAGATGACTTTGAATGCTGGAGCTTCACTTAAAACCAAATAAATAAGCCTCAGTTTTTGCAAGGGATTTTCAGGAACTGCTTTCATTTTTTCCCTATAATGTGTCAGCCCTTGGTACAAGATTTATACACATTTGATTAATAAAGAAATAAATTTACTCAGTGTGTTTTGTAGTTGAGGTGATAATTAAATGCATTCAGCTCACTGGTAATCATTCTATTCATAGCGGGTGTTGTTGTTTTGGAGTGCATTTCTTTCATCCCTTAGAATGGAAAGACAACTTGCAAAACTCAAGTCTCGTTACATTTTATTCAGAATCCTGAATGCGAAGAATGTATCTCCCACTATTGTTTCTGTGTCCTACTATTCTAACGATTCTGTGTTGACTCCTAGATGCAGCCTCCACGTGAAAATTGGACATTGGTAACAGAATTTGTCTTGGTAAGCTTCACAGGCATCCAGGAGGCATGGTTGCCTCTCTTTGTCTTCTTCCTAATCATGTACTTGCTAACCCTGATGGAAAATGGCATCCTGGTCTTAGTGGTGGCAACAGAAAAGCGCTTACACACCCCCATGTACTTTTTTCTCATCCATCTCTCCTTCTTGGACATTTGGTATACCTCTCTCACTGTGCCCAAAATGCTGGCTGGGTTTGGATACCCAGCAGGTCAGAAGATCTCTTACTCTGCCTGCTTGACTCAACTTTACCTCTTCACTTTCTTGGGCAGTACAGAATGCTTCTTGCTGGCAACCATGGCCTATGACCGCTATGTGGCTATTTGTATCCCTCTGCGGTATCATGAGATTGTAGACCGAAACACCTGTCTGGTTCTGGCAATTGGCTCGTGGTTAACTGGTTTTCTTACCCCAGTGCTGCCTGTTTATTTCATGTCACAGTTGGTATTTTGTGGTCCCAATGTGATAGATCACTTCTTCTGTGATGCTTCACCACTCCTTATTCTCTCCTGCACTGACATTTCACTGAAGGAATCAGTAGACTTCTTGGTCTCTCTTTTGGTATTGTTGATCTCCTCTTTGGTTATTTTAATATCATATGTTCATATTATCATTACAGTGCTCAGAATTAACTCGTTGGCTGGACGGCAACGAGCTTTTTCAACGTGTACTGCCCACTTAATGGTAGTGGCTGTTTTTTATGGGACACTCTTCTTTATGTATGTCCGTATCAAAGTTACCTCCTCAATCAACCTCAACAAGGTGGTGTCAGTCTTTTATGCAATAGTCACACCTGTCCTTAACCCTCTAATCTACAGTTTAAGGAATACAGATGTGAAGACTGCTTTCTGTAGAATTATTTCCAAGAAAAAGCCTCTTGTAATGTGACATCAGCAATAAAATAAGCATTCATATTATTATTATTATGGGTTAGGGAAGGATTAAGGGAAAGCAAGATGAGCTCAGAATGACTAATAATTTATTTCTTGTTTATTTAATTTCTTGGGATTATAAACAAAGAATGGAATCAACTGCTTAATTTTAACTGGAGATTCCACCCATTTTTATAGGTGGTGAAACATTTCATAGGATGATCATTTGTGCAAAATTGTTATCAGGAAAATAGCTGGGCCAAATGAGAAATCACTGGGATAGTGGTAGGAAAACATTTTTTGTTACTGTATATATCCTATTTTTTTCCTTTCCAAAGAGAATATTAAGTGTTTTATCAGGAAAATAAAATTACTCCAAAGTTGAGAGCCAAAGCAAGGGTGAGTAATATACTAAACACTACAAGCCATAGCTATTCCAAATTAACATCATTGCATGTTTTATGATCAGCAGTATCATCACTGAAGAATTTTAGAGTAGAGGTCCTGGGTCCTGTTCCACTGAATAAACACAGGAGCCCTACATAGAATAGGACAGGCTTACAGTATTTTGAAGTAAATGCCGTAGTACATTTATCACTTTGTGAATTATTTTCCCTGAATTAAAGTCATTAAGCTTAGAGCTGAAATCACCAAAGTGCAACACTGCTGGCTATAAAAGATGTCCCCGTGTGATGTTGTAGCTACAGCAGCACTTCTGGTTGTGGCAATGAGAACATTAGGTCTGACGTGATCTGCTCAGATATGGAAGTAAAGGTATTGGCTTTCAAGCAGACATTTTAGTGTTTGCTCTCAAGAGCAATCTGTTAGACTTTTGGCAAATCAACTTTCATATCCCATTGTTTTATTTTTTTGTGGAAACTGGTCTTGAACGGAGTTTACATAAAGGAAGGCTCATTTCATTCTTTGTATCTTCTTGAATACAGGATGATACACTTCTTTATCATTTAAGTAAGAATGATTCTACTCATATGTGAGATTTATGGATTAGGTGAAAGAGTGATGTCACAATTTGCTGAACTCATCAAAATGATCTGATTTGGGAGGGCAATTTAAAGGTAATGTGGGTAGCTTTAGCTAGTCTTTTTGCTTTGTGTCATTAGAAATTTTTTTATCAATCACTTTGTGTTTTCGTTACAGTATACTTGTTTAAATCCATAGACTCCTAAAGACAAATGTATTTATTCCTGCATCATAAAAAGCTCTCTGCTCCATCAAAATTATTTTAACATTCATAATATATTGTTATCCCAAAATATATTTAATTTTTAAGTCCATTTTTTTTACTTAACATCTACAGTATTAGGAGAGGCAGCCCTTCCTAGATCAGGACACTATAGCTATAGCAACTCATACCTTTGTCATTTAGAGATACGGTTTCTGGAATGCCCTGCACATACAGGAGACTTCCCTTTGAAGACCACAGTAAACTAGAATTAACAGAATAACAGAGTTGGAAGAGACCTTGTAGGACATCTAGTCCAACCCCCCACCCAAGCAGGAGACCCAATACCATTTTTGACAAATGACAGTTCAATCTCTTCTTGAAAGCTTCTAGTGATGAAGCTTCCACAACTTCCGAAGGCAAGCTGTTCCATTGGTTGATTGCTCTCACTGTCAGAAAGTTTCTCCTTATTTCTAGGTTGAATCTCTCCTTGATCAGTTTCCATCCGTTATTTCTTGTCTGACATACAGGTGCTTTGGAAAATAGCTTGACCCCTTCCTCTCTGTGGCAGCCCCTGGCTGGAACACTGCTATCATGTCTCTCCTGGTCCTTCTTTTCACTAGACTAGCCATGCCAATTCAATCAAAACTCAGTGGTCTATTTATTGATCAGCATTAATGGCTATAATAATCATATTATATACCACCCACAGGTTTCTTTATTCAAGTTATTTATTCAATTTCATCAAAATGTTAGTAATGATTTAAAGTCCTATGCTGTACCTATCAGAACTGTTTCCTCCAACTGTAATTAACTGAAGAATCCTCTTGTAATAAAGCTACTTAGGTTAAACAGATTTTGTGAAGTGAAGATTTCATGATTTTTAAGCCTTGAAAACTATATTATGAAACAATGTCCACCTAGAAGTTAGGTTAGTCCTTGGGTGACTGTCTGCCAGAAATTAGGGTCTTTTCTTATGGAAGGCTTTTGGCGATAGTTGTTGAAGGCTTTTGGGGATAGTTATCTTGAACTTTACTTTTTTAATCTCTTGTTTATTTGGTATAGATATTGTATCTTTTGCTTTGAAAAATAATGTCTTAATAAAATTGTACTGCACAATATGATTTACAGTAGATGTTTAGGATTATTGTAAGCCTCTGTGAATCTAAAAAGTTTAACAGTATGAAAATGTAATGAATAACAATATTTTACCCTTTTACATCCATGTTCTTTCAACTGTAAAAGAATAATTTTTCTGTCTCATTTTATTTGAATCTAAGGCTCTCATGTTTTTTGGACTGATTGCTCTCCCCACTGTTTTCCTGATTGTAAATTACTTGGATAATTAGGAAATGATTCATTTTTAATATAATGCATATTGAGCCAAGTGGGATATCATCATCATCCAAATCAGTTCACTGCAGGATGCAGTTCTCTTCAGCTCCTTTCCAGCACCTAAATTTGGTATGAATCGAACTTAAAGGATCTAGAAAATGTTTGAAAGGCTAAGCAAATGATGAAACTCCAGTCAGAGGTCTTAATTGGAAATTACTTTATACTTATATAATCAGACCTAATTTAACATTGAGGAAATTTGGTCCTGCTTGGAATGCAGTTGGATATACAAAGTACTGTTGTTATATATTCATACAAATAAGACACTTTGCAAAAGAGTCATATTACGTTAAAAAGAAATCGTCACTCTGAAAGAATTTGGTTCCAGGACAGAAAAATGTGGCATGTGAACCACTTTTTGATCCAACAACGATATGTTTGCCTCCACTATTGTTGAGAAATTTCTTGGCAACTACAGAGCACCAAACTATATTCAGCTGGTTGACAACCTTCTTAGAGCAAGATCATGAAGCACAACATGTCACTGAAGATTCATTTTCTGCATTCACACTTAGGCTTCTTTCCTGAAAATCTAGGTGCAATCAGTGACACACATGGTGAAAGTTTTCATCACCACAAGGCAAAAATAGCATCCGGGCAACTAGAATCCATGAATGATGGCTGACTATTGTTGGATACTGCAGCGAGATGCACAGAACACTAAGTACAAATGAAAATAAGTAGCAAAACATTTTTAGTTCTGCTGAACTCATGCAGTATATTAGAAACATTATGCAATAAAATACATTATAGTCATTAAAAGTTAATTTAATATTTTTCGAGATTCCTTTGTGATACAGTCATTCTGAAATTGTACTTGTGTTTAGTTTGAAGGGGTCTATTATAATCACCAAAACTTTTGAAAAAAAAATGTCCAGTGTTATTAAATGCTCACCTGAGAAAAGGTACTTCTTATTTCTCATGACTGGCTTTTTAGCATTTGATTTTGTTTGGCTTTAATTGTCTTTTCCCAGTAGAGTAACGGATTGATACATTTGATTTGACAGATGGGTGCTTTTTTATCTTTAATGTTTTCATATCTGAACCAACAACCTATTGACTGCCACGGCAGTGAAATGTAGACAGTTAGAAAGTTCCCTGTTTTATTTTCAGTCAGTATACTCTTAACTAAACTGGCTTTGTTTGCTTTGAGTGTAATATGATACAAAAAGCTAACCAATTCTGGATTATTCAAACAAACTATACTTTTGTAAAATATGGTTTAACACAATGCCTGACATTAGTGACAGCTTCAGTGTACATGGGATGGTTGTCTTTTTTTCCATTACTATTCTCCCCCACCCCGTTGCCATTAAAAAAAAAACAGTGATAAGATTTTCTATTGATTCTCAAACAGAAGTGCTCCACCCTTAGCTACTGATACAATTATCATTTAGGGAGAAGTGGGTAAAACGAAGTCTCCCAGTGGAGGCAATGCAGGTGCTGTTGCCCACAGACCAGTGGTGGATTCAAATTTTTTTACTAACGGTTCTGTGGGCGTGGCTTGGTGGGCGTGGCTGGGGAAGGAGACTGTAAAATCTCCAGTCAGAGGTGGTATTTGCCCGTTCTCCAAACTACTCAAAATTTCTCCAGAACTGGTCAGAACTTGCTGAATATCACTTCTGCCACAGACACCATATTCTGAAGGGTCTTTCTTCTGAACAAGGCATTGTGGGTCAGGTGGCTGCAGAAACTAATTCTGGGGCACAAGAGGGTCTTCTGAACCTCTTTGCCCACAGCGCCTTGCTCTGAGAAAAGGCTCAGCCTCGGAGCTGACCAATTCTTTGGAGATTCATACCAGCTGTTCTCCTATTGTCTCAGTTGCTTCAATAAGAAAGCAAACAGCAGAACAATCCAGAATTACCATACGATGCCTCTCTTAGGATTCCTTTCCTTGGAATGAAGGACTAACTTACAGGCCACTTTCTGGAAAACAGCTGTGTCCAGCAAGAGCTTCAAGGTGACTGCCACAACTGTTTGATCAAAACCCTGTCTCTTTTTAAAGGGGTTGGGCATGCAATGCACATAAAAGGTGGCAGGGCTCCAAATGTATAGTCAAGGCTGCCATTTGACTTTTTTTGAACCATCCTCCCCACCTTCACAGATGCTGCTAATGGAAACTATCATCAGTGGCATTCCTGTAGAATTTGCCCCCTTCCTCACTTCAAGGAAGGTGTTACGTTACGTTATGCTACGTTACGTTATGTTACATGATGTTCTGTTCTGCTCTGTTCTGTTCTGCTATGCTATGCTATGTTACATTGTTTTATGTTGTTATGTTATGTTTTATGTTATGTTACATTTTGTTATGTTATGTGATATGTTATGTTTTATATTTTATGTTATGATTTAGTACATTTATATGCCATCCATCTCATTTAGAGGCAACTTTGGGCAGCTTACAAATATTAAAAGTAGTTAACATTAAAAGAGAGAAACAATAACGACACAACAATAATGTAACATTAAAAGATGGGGAGAAGGGAGCACAAAGAACACAGGGAGAGGTGGGGGTCTTCTGATTAGAAGACCCCCATCTTTCCCTGTGATAAGGAGCCACCTCCAGAGTGATACCACCCCTTCATTGGGGCTCATGGCCAACTGGCAGAGCCCAGTCTTTAGAAACTTACAAATGGTCGGGAGGGTAAGTAGGGATCTCACCTTGGGGGGGGTGGGGGGGGGGGGGAATGTAAGATGTTCCAAAAGACAGGAGCCACAACAGAGAAGGAACTCCTTGACTGATGGGGCCCACCACAGCATGCCCTTTCTGCTGGCGAGGGTGAGGCAGGCTAGTCTCATTGGGTTTTTTAATGCTTCCTTATTCTCCTTTGCAAATCCTCCAACCAGTTTGGTTTAGTCTAAGCACTCAGCTGAGAAAATAATTAAAGAGTTGTTGGAAATAGTGGTTATAAAAGAAAATCAAAGAGCAAGGAAGGAGCTGCATTACTGTTGTGGAATGGGACAACTCGCCGCAACCAACTTGCTATGACCAACTCACCATGGGACAATTTAACAATTCAATTTAATTATTTAAAATAAAATAAAAATATTTTAATTTTTATCATTCACATTTCATTCTCTCCCTGCTTTTACATCCTTTCTTTAATGATTCTATTCCACCATTTCTTTGATATTAGTGGCCCGCAGCGAGTTGGCCATGATGAGTTGTCCAGAGTAAATTGGCCATGGCAAGTTGGCTGTGATGCAGGATTTTAGGAGTCTTAAGGATGTCCATTCTAAAGGACATTAGGCAGTTAGTGGGATAATTAATCCTTCTGAAGAATTCAGTGGCTGAGGACTTTCTTCAGGGCTACCTTCATCTCTTTTGTCCTTAGACTGTAGATTATGGGGTTGAGTAATGGTGTGCCCAGAGTATAGACCATGGAGAGTAGCTGGTCTTCCTTTGGATAAAAGTTAGCATTTGGACGCAAGTACATAAAGCTGCAGCAACCATACTGGAGGGCCACCACAGCTAAGTGAGAGGAGCAAGTAGAAAAAGTCTTTCGACGAGCATTGGCTGAGTGTATCCGCAGCACTTCAACAGTGATGAACACATAAGAGATGCAGATCAATATGAAAGGCACTGCAATGGCCATTACCCCTAAAAGCAGTATCCCAACTTTACTGAGTTCAGTCTTGTTACTTATGAGCTGGTATATAGGGGGCACATCACAGAAGAAGTGTTCAATTCCAACCTCAGCACAGAAGGAGAGATGAAAGACCAGCCATAATAGCATCAGGGAAATCAGGAAAGCAATAAGCAATGACACAACTACTAGCTGAATGCATAGCTGCTGACTCATGATGAAGATGTATCTCAAAGGCTTGCAAATAGCCACATAACGGTCAAAGGCCATGATGGCCAGCAAGAAGCAATCAGCACTACCTAGTCCAATGAAAAGAAACATCTGAGTACAGCAGCTCCTAAAACTGATGAACTTCTTCTTCTTCAAGCTGGTCACCAAGATCTGTGGAACCACAGTTGCTGTATAGCAAAGTTCAATCACAGAGAGAGCACCCAAAAAGAAATACATAGGGGTGTGCAGGTGAGGGTTCCTCCAGACAGCTAATATAATCAGTGTGTTACCTGTGATTATGATTGCATAAACTGTGCTAATCCCCAAGAAAAGCAAATACTGATACTGTGGTTGAGTGGGAAAAGCCAAAAACATAAAATCCAGCATTGCCGTACAGTTCTCCTGAAACATCCAGAATGATTGCTCCTATCCTAAAAGTAATCCAAATAGAAAATAAGAAAATCCATGATCAAGTCAGTATATTAAAGGCACATTTTACTTGAAATAAACAGAGGCTTTGATATGACAAAAGGGTAATGGTCAATGTGTTGTTCTCTAACGTTGGGCTGAAGTTTCTATGAATCCTCCTCATTGGGTAGGAAAATGATGTGTTGGAGAGAATTAGAATACAACAGTCTTTGGAGCAGAGCTGTAAAGCTCACGGCTTGCAGGCTGGATGCGTCATGTGCTGGCCACGTTCACGCCAGGTTTAGCGAAGGGGGGGGGGAAGTCCCGATATAACACGTGACACCGCTGTGACGACATGAACTTGATACCCCTGCTCTGGAGGATCACATTACTAGTCCTTACACTTAATGAAGGTGGGAAAATATGCAGGAAGGCTCCCAAACTATAGAAATTTACACCAGTCTAAAATAATGCTGTTCATATTCTTGAATTACCACTTTTTATGTGTATGGTGCAAATATATCCTTCTGTTTGGGAAGTTTAATTAACACACCTATACATGGTCATCTTATGATTCTGTATCTGTTATGTTTTCTGTATCTGTTATGTTTACTGTATCTGTTATGTTTACCTTAACTGCTGCTATTGCAGTTCATGCAATAGCATGAATAAATATTCATAATCCAAAGACTAAGCAATACAGAATCACAGCGTAACAGTGTAGTCTCGTAATTTTTGAGTATCTGCTTTTTGAACTTTTGAAACAAGGCAAGTGGGATGGATTTTGAGAAATAGATTTTTCAACTGAAAAAAATGTCACCTCCTGCCACAGACCTCTAGAGGTGCAAATTTAATTTAAAAAAAAATCATGATCCCAGGAGAAATGCTGTATTAAATAATTTACAGGACTAAGATATGTTTGAGATGTTATGACAATAAAACAAAGCAATCTATCACATAGATTGTGATAAAACTAATGTCCTTTTAATTTTGATTTTTCAGTTTGAAAAGTTCACATGTCAAAAGGGGAATGGGATGGTTTTTTTTTATCTGCAGCATAAACATAGAAAGGACTGAATCAAGCTATGGAGACTTAGAAGTAGGGGAAGTTGAATATGGATTGCATTCTTAGTACTATTTCAAAATTGGTTCTAGAGTTTTGTGCTTTTACACAATCATTTGTGTTTAGCAGCTGGGCAAACTTATTTCTGAATCAGCTCTGATGTACTTGAAATAGCCAAAAAAATGGTTATTTCCATTTTCATGGGTGAAGTTTAGTAATTCTGAGGAACTCTTGACACACCCTAGTTTCAGAACCTGACTTGATATAGCATTCTATTTAGAGGTCCTTTACTGCAACCGTTCCATTCTGATTTTTGACTAGGGCCAAGCAAATGAACACCATTCTGCAATTCCACTTTAAAACACAGGTGTAATGATTCTGAACTGCTCTGATTCTTTGTGGCTTCTTGCAATTCCCCAACTCCCAGGCACACTAGTCTGGGCAGTGAGTGAGCGCTGGAAAGAAATTGTCAAGATTTCCATTTCGTTTTCTATTCTGTGGGAGGGATATCTCTGATCCAAAGGACCAAGTTGCTGCTAGTTTTTTTTAAAGACACTGTCTTGTGGATGGCAGGAGGGAATGCTAGCAGTTTCTTGCTTGCTGAATAGGAATGCACAATTATCTGCTTTTTTCAGGACCATCTCTATTCCCTGCAACTCAAGCCTACTTCCCTGACAACCTTCAAAATTCTGTTCCTGGTGATTGATTGTAGGCATTGTTTTAAATGTATTTTCTTCCTTTCTCCCTAGCAACCACACAGAGCTATGTCGTGTCTCCACTTGTACATAGTAGTATCTTCTACAGCCATCATTATCCCAAAATAACTGCAATATAGACAGGCTTTATATTGCCTCAGTAATGGCTGGATGGTATTAGGCAGCAATAATTTGCCTATGTGTTCAGCTACTGGAAAAAACAATTGGTTGTAAAACTGAGGCATATTTTCACCACCACAGCTAGCAATAGATCTTAAATGCAAGGAGGAATATTCAGGAACTCTAGCATTTCCCATGAAGTTGGGATAAGTTCACAGCTGAAACTATGAAGACCTGAAGAAGTGAAGACTTGTTAGCTCATGGAAAATGTCTTAATGTTCTTTTATTTTGCTTCTAACATTATACTGGAGTAGTTTCCCCCCCCCCATCTATTGCCTTCCAAATGTGTTGGAGATCAAACCAGCATAGTGCAAGGAGGCTATAGAAATTAAAACCCAACAATTTGGAGGTCAACAGGTAAAGGGAAACTGTTGCTTACTAAATAACAGGTTAATATACAGAGCTAAAACTCACTTCAGCTTGCCTGTTCTTTTTGTTAATTACATGGTCATCCTGCACAAGTTGGAATATAGGATTCCATTATCAGTAATTCATTACTTTTTCACTGTTTCACCTCATTTGCTCATTTAATTGGAAGCTAAAGGACCGTCATAATGCTCCACTGCTTTATCTTCATGCATAGTTGATTTGGAAAAATCTTCACAAGCTGGTAAAGTTATCAGTACTTCAGCACCTGTCATATGTTGTGAACCATCAAGCAAATACTTCTTTGGAACAAAGTGGTGACCTGACCTCTTAGTTTTAATTAGATGTCCCATTAAGGCATAAATAGCAGTTGGCAGTAAATATAAGCATAACCACCACTCCTGCTTGAAACAGACGTACAAAACCAGGTAATGAAAATGCTTTTCAAAGGGATGTGCAAGGCAGGAAATTTCTACTCCTGAATTCATAAAAATTCTTCTCTGTTTTTCCCCATTTATCTAGAATCACAACTTAAAAGCTTAGATTCTATCTCAACCAAATTATGCAGAATGAATGTAATGAAAAAGATGTAAATGGTAGAAGTGTAATCTGTAATCTCCTCAAAAATTTCTCTTTTCCTCCTTTGTGCAATTATGGAAAATAATTTGGTGGGGAATTCTGTAAGTACAGAAGAACCACACGGGAGGAACAAGTTTGGATCAAAATAGCAGGTCAAAAAAATTAGATCCATAAAGCTTTCTTTGCTCTAGGCCATAGAAACCTCACACCACAAGAAATGCATTAATTTAAATTCCCACAAAACTCAATATTGGTTTCAGTAACAAGAACCAAAAAGCAGAATCAGAATATAGAGCAAGAACAGCAGAATAACAATAATTCAGCTGACATTTTAAACTCTTTGAAAACATATTTAGAAAGTATTTTATTTGGTTTTGCAAGTTCTACTATTTATCTGGAGAACATTAAAAAAAAAATGCAGCACATCAGTGGAAGAAGAAGGCTTCTCCTAGATTGCAGTTGCCATTGTTGAGTAGGGCCACTCATGAAGGGCTTTATATATAGTTCAAGGATAGTCTTTCCAGTATCTCAGATAAGTCACCACCCTTTATGATTCTCGGTTCTCCATTCTTTTTCCTCAAAGCTGATTTTTTTAAAAAAAGAAATTGCTGTTAATGCTGTATTCTAGTTACTTGTTTGTCACATGTTTGTAGGAAGTCATTTGTGCAAGAGTTAACAAAGCATGCTTTTTTGCTAGACAGTGATTTAAAAAAAAAACATTACTTCCTCTCTGTATCCTAAGAAAATAATGTCATTGTATGTTTTCACAATATGGGCATCTGTCGTTCAATAGAATTGTGGTGGTGACAATGAATCCGTGATTTCTATTTAAGATCATAATATACTCCCAAAGGTGCTTTTTCAGGAGGTAACTGGACTTTCTTGTTTTTCTTTTTTTGAAGATGTTTCGCTTCTAGTTAGTTAGTTTACTTTATTGTCATTGCACCTTGTACAACAAAATCAAACACCATCTTCAGTGCACATCATGACCGTGAAAATAAACACAAACACACATCCTTCACACTCCACACATTGACCCGAAAACTCGAAAACTCCCGACACCACACCAACACTGCACTCTACAGCAGAATTCAAAAGAGCTACTGCCCTGGGATAGAAGCTGTTTTTCAGCCTATTTGTGCTTATTTTTATTATTCTGTGCCATCTGCCAGATGGTAGTTTAAAAAAAGGGTGCCCAGGATGAGAGGGATCTAAGAATGTTTTGAACTTTCTTAAGGCAGTGGGAGCTATAAAGCTCTTCCAAAGAGGGCAGAGGGCAACCAGTGATCTTCTGGGCAATGACATTCTAACCCAAGAAGCTTCTTCAGCTCTGACAGGATAGTGGGAAATGGGAGGATTTATATTCCTTGCAGACAGCTGGACATTTGCATCCTTTTAGAGGGTGGTTGAAACACTTGGAAGTTTATCTGTGTCCTCAGGGTCATCTGAGTCGTGTTCCTGGTTCCCGTAGTCTGCAATTTCTTCTCTGGAAATCCATTCCTACTCTCACACCATTCAAAGGGGTGTACATCCCAAATTCTATAGCTAAAAGTCTATAATTGAGATGAACTACTCAGGTGACCCTGAGGACACAGATAAACCTCCAAGTGCTTCAATGACCCTCTAAAAGGATGCAAAGGTCTAGCTGTCTCCAAGGAATATAAATCCTTCCATTCCCCACTATCCTGTCAGAGCTGAAGAAGCTTCTTGGTTGAGAAGTGAAACATCTTCAAAAAAGAAAAACAAGAAAGTCCAGTTACCTCCTGGAAAAGCACCTTTGGGACAACCATGACCTGGATGACTGAGAATCTCTACAGATCATAATGTACTGACTGGCACTTGGAAAATGGGAAAACTAATTCATCCTGACAAATCATTTGCAAATACGTATTAATAGTTATGTTTGCTTCAAAGGTACTGGATGTACATTAAAATCTACCACAGGTGAATAGAAGGGTAACTTTCACCCTTGTTTGTATTCTCATTTCTCAGGCCATCTTGCAGATGATGATGACATTGAACTTAAGACATTAGAGTCACCTCAGACAACAAGATGGGTGGCATACAAATTTAGTAAATAAGCAAATAAATAAAAATTAAAAAACAGAATAGGGAATGGT